GTCCTCCATCTGATTTGAGAAAATCCATCATAGCACCAAGAGCTCCAAGCCCCTGCAGCACCTACTAACCTCAGCAGAAGTGTGGGTGTCCTGGTCTGAATATACTGAACCTGAGCAAGGACACACTAGCAAACCCCAGCCAGTATGCGGCAGGGGTGCGCTGAGTGCTTCTTGCATCCCATGCTTATTTAAAATGGCTTATTGCTGCAGTATCCAAGTCTCACATTTTTAATGGTAAGGATAATTAACCATTGCCTGCAGAAGGAGAAGGTTTCTGTCATTTGAAATCATTAAAAATGAACGTTAATGATAAACTCCAATTAAACTAGGATTTATGGTCTTGGCATAGGAATGAGTAGATAAGACACGTTTTGGCCCATGTTACAGAAGAGGTCACATCAGTGACCATAATGGTTTCTAAAGACTTTAAAAGCCAAAAATCCATCAAAGTGTTACTAAATTAAAACATGAATTTGTAATTATTTAGCAAGCAAGACAAAAGACTCATGGACCAACCCCAAGGATCTGTTACAGAACGAGAGACGGTCTTAGCATCCTGCTGGGGAGCAGGCTGAGCACTAGCAAAGTTTTCCAGGCTCCCAGTCCTAATGGGATTTATCCAGTGACTTAGTGGCAGGCTTCAAAAGCAACACCAGCTGCAATAAGCCTTTTTGGTTGTAGACCACCAGACCCGCATCGATTCCTTTGCACGGGGAGTACAAAAGAGTCGGTGCGACACAAAACTGCAGCCGTCAGGTCATCCGCCATCCTAGGCGGATCCATCTACTCTGCTTAACCGAGCAAGATGAAGTTCAGCACATTTTACCTGCCTGTCCAAAAAAAGAAGGAAGACCTGGCCAAGAAAGCGCTGTAGGTGGGTATCAACGCTGTAGGTGGGTATCACGCAGAGCTCCAGCTCTGCAGGAGCATCCGCTAACCTTGTTGGCAGATGAGTTTGTCAACCAACACTGAACTACTGCAAATGCACAATCCTGTGCAACGTGAACATCTCTTCATTTCACACACTCAGCAAGACCACGCAGGACTGACTGCCTGTACTGACATTGGGATTACATGTTTAGTCTTGCAGATTTACCTAACCGCAGCTCAGCACAGTTTTTGCAGAAAGTGGTATATTCATTGAAAAAACAAAAACCATAATCTTACAGCAACATTTGCCAATTGAAATGAAATCTGTTACATAGCTTCAGTCAAAAAATATTTGGTTTGAAAATTTTAAAATGATTCCTTTAAATTTTCTGAATATTTCCTGTGTTTAAGTTTTCTTCCTTATTTGATATATTCTACTTCTAAATGGACACACACAAAAAAGAAAAAAAAATGAAATAAGCTGATTAATCAGAAAAAAATCTCTCTTAGGCTGGAACATTTGTCGTATTTTCCTTTTTGTTCAGCAAACATGTTTTGTTCAACTCTAGATGAACCAGAAGAAATAAATCCTGAATATCTGCTGCAGTCAGTGACTTTTCTAGTCCCCCATCCACACCAAACCACTACCCCGGCAGCTCCCCATGTGTGTCTCCGACAACAGCCTTACTGTTCAGATGACCACTGTGAAGATTGTATCTAATATATTTTAGGAATTACTCCATTTTGAACAACAGAACCAAGCCCTGCTTTCCTGTCCTTTGGCACTTCTTTCCTTGCACCAGCCTCAAAGGTGCTACAAGGACAACAGTGCATGAGAAACATCACCTTGTGCAACAAACACCACATCGTACATTGGTTTCTCTCGCAGCATCTTATGCGAAATAAAGAGTGCAAAAAACACCAGTAACTTCCTTATTGTTCATCACAAGAAACTTTTTTTTTGTTTTGCTGCAATTACTTAATTGCATGTATTTTCACCATAAAAATAATACTAAAATCTTGATCCAGATCTGAAGTTCAATGTCCTCGGATTAATTTAAGATTTTTTTTTCCACATAACTTAGTATTAGCTTCTTTGTAGGGCAGTAGTTTTATGGAGATGCTCCGAGAAAAACGAGATGATTTACACTGTATTTCAGCCAAAAAGAAAAGAAAAGAAAACAAACAAAACACCAGCACACGCTGTAACTGAATTTTGGCAAACTTTATGCGAGTGCCAGGACTTATCTAGCAGCTTTCTATATTCCTAGCCCGCATAATCTAACATATCTTCCACAACCCATTTTCAAAAAATATGGGCTATGATCTAGGTTTCTCTGAAGATAGTTCTGCCCAAAACTAAAGCGAGAGATGTCTAGAACTCCTGCGAGTTTTTCTGCAGACAAATGAACTGTTAATTTGGCATCGCTTCTTACCAAATTAGTGGTAGAAAAGGTCAAAGGATTCAGACAGCAAGAGAAGTGCATCAATTACTAAGACACGCAAAGGTAAGAGTGCTTACGGGGACAGGACGAATGCTTTTATCAGTTAATGGTAACAAATTCATCAACAGATTCCAGTTTATGCTGTTACAAGAGGCTCATTAAGTGGTTTGTAGCTCCCAGGGACAATGTGCAACAGGACTTGTAGAACCTTTCCCTTTCCCTTTCCCTTGCAGGAGGCATTAGCCCACTCTGGAAACACCTTTGGAATTACTTAAAAATGCAAGTGGAATAAGCATTTTTCTCCTAAAGCCTACTTTAAAAAGGTCTTTCTGATGGTAAGGGAAAGCCTTTCTCTGGAGCTCATTAAAAGGGCCCATCCTATCTTAGGATAAGGATGTGGCACACGGAATATCGCAGTATGGGTGAAATAAGGTTTAAGTGTTTGTGTCTGTTAAGCTTTACACCATTTCCTCAGAATATATATGATGCTTATAGTACACATTGATAAAATCGCTAACTGCCAGACCAAGACTACAGGATTTGTAGGAAACCTTGATTGCAGAAACTCCATCTCCTACCACACTTTTTAATTCAAGTGCAAATTTCACTACAATTAACCTTTAGGTTGGTTTGGGTAGGCAAAGCTCGTCAGGTTTTTCTTTTAGCTGCCCCGATTCTGCTGTTGTTTCTTTATTTCCCCTTGTGCAGAGTTTGTGCCTTTTCTTGTGACCAGGATCCTATGCCAAACCTTCTGTAAAAATCGCCCTAACAGGGCACCATGCCATTTAAAACACCAATCTCTACATTTCTTACCAAAATATCTATCTTGGTATAAAGGGCATCATTTATCTAATAATGAGAGGAGGGGAGCGGGGTCTGGTCTAAAGGGTAACAAAGGCTGATACTGATCATTATCCAGCAGCAAACAACTGCCTCAGATGCTTTACAAAATTCAGTAAATTAGCCTTAGAGCATCCAGTAATGAAGCCATATTCCATGCTCGTGCCTGAGGAAACAGCCTCCAAGAGTCAAACCATTCTCCCATTTCTGCAGTGCCACAGATTTCCAAGCTGTACACAGACAACGACAGCCAAAGGCTCAGAAGAACGGCTGGATTTGCCCAGGGTTATAGGACAGTCTGTAAATGAGCCAACAACTAGAACCACGAGCCCAACGCCCTCATCCCTGGAAGAAACACTAAATGTGACAAATTAAATACTGGAATAATGATCATAGAAATATTCTCTATGTCATTATCACTCATAACCTTGTCTTCTTAGGTACAACTAGCTCCTCATTAAAAAGGCAAGATTCAAGTATGTCAGAGATGCAAAAATCACTGAACAGTTTTTCAAGTGAAGCAGATCAGGAATTCTTCACACTGTTCACACGCTGCTAATTGCTGATCATAGATGTTCTTCCCTTATTGAACTTATACCTGCTCGGGCAACTGCCAGAGGGCAGGCCATGGACTTTCTCATTAAAGAAAATCCTCAAAACAATTCTTGTGATTGATATTAAATATCCCGTATGTTTCAGCTAAAGCTTCTCCACTTTGCACTGCACTGCCATGAAGACATGAGCTTAGAGAGGGGCAGGAGTGACTGAGCTCTTCACAAGCTTGCTCAGCGTGCATCTGCCAGCACACTGAAACATCTGACTTTAGCTTTCATTTCATGTCCATGCTCTGATCTAGAGAATTAACCCTCCTTCCATTCTTTCTCCACAAAATAAAAACGCACATATTACAATATTAAACTCATACGATAACTAATGAGGAAGTTCTGCTGATGCTGAACTCAAAAGGAGCAAAATCTGGGTTGTAAGCTTTCTGCAAAATCTCAAGAGGTTACTATTCTCTTTTGATGCTTAGCTAGCATTCTAATTAATTAAAAGTAAATTGAGTGGGGAAAAAAAAAAACTCCCCAAATTTTAATTGCTTTCACATTTTGTAGGTACCCTAAAATCTAGGCAACTGCAAGCAGGTAAACAGGGTCCCCTCTTTGAAGATTACTGATTTAAAGGGGATTTTAAACTGAGAGCTTTTTCATCTGTGAAAAGTGTAAGCTGATACAAGTGTAACATAAAACTAGCTTGCACACAACACCAAACTCCAGGGCACACATGTAGGAGGCAAACTATTGAGCACAAGAGCTGTCCTGCAGTTTTGCAGCAGGGCACGCAAGCACACACCCAACATGAGGCAGTCGAGCAGCCCCACACCCCCCTGAGGCTACACATCTCCCCAAAGCATTTTACTGGGTGAAATCTTCTAATGACATTTGTCAGCCACCGACCCTTCCCAAGCAACTCCATTGCGCTGGGACAACTGCAGGGTGCACAGCCAGTCCTTGCAGGCTTGGATAACAGCAAAATGAAGGCTAAATCTGCCACTGCAATTCACAGTATATTTAAGGAGGGAGTGCTTTCACCCCTCAGCACTGCAGGTAAAATTTACAAGGCGCAGGAGCATTTCACCGAGATTAGGTTACCAATTTCACTGCTGTCCTTTTCAAGTCATTATCATTCCACTTTTTCCAATATAGTCTGTTGACTCTATCTGTATCCCCATGTGGCCGACCCATCTCTGTTCAGCTTCAGGCTTTTAAGTGGATACTTGTACATAGACTAGCTGGTACTTAGCAATTTTTCTGCTAGTACAAGCAGTGAAGAAATGCAACTTACTGCCACTCTTCAGCAGGTTCTGTTCCTCTTCCTTCAGCCTGTTCTGCATAAGATGGAGCATGTTGGCCGCTTCCTGTAAGAGGTGAAAACACTCAATCAGAAAAGCTGCTGCACTGCCCAGTTGAGTGGCTCTTTGGATAATCCTACAGCAGTTAAGGACACTCACAGGCAGAATGAGAATAGAAAATTTCAGCCTTGAAAATGTCTTAGAAAAAAAAGTCCTAATTGCAGTATGGGAGCTTCTACCTACTTTGCCCAAAAGGTCAGGATGTAAAGAATATACCCAGAATATCCACCACTTATTCCCAGTGGCTGAAAAACCTCACTCATGACACTGAAAAGGGGTTCAATTGTCTTCATCCCACAGAGAATTACTGCCATTACAGAATGAAGAGGATTTTCTGTGTAAATCTGTTTTTGGTAGCTGTTTTCAACTCCGTTAAACTCCAGAAGTTGCTCGTGAAATGACTGTCACCTTATAATAACATATACTAAAACAGAACAAATTCACATATTTCCACACATGCAAACAACAGAGACAGAAAAAGCTCAGTTATTAATCATTAGAGGTATAGCCAAAATTGCATTTGTGTATAAATGCAACCCCCTACAGCAACACTGTGCAAGATGGTTTGCTGAATTCCTTCAGTAAACGTAGCAGATCTTTACCTAAAAGCAGGCTGAGAAACACTATTGTATGTCTTTACTATAGTATGTACAACAGGACTGCATATTTTATCATTTACGACACAGTTACAACATAAAGGGGAATAAGAGCAAGCAGAAAAGGGCAGATAGAACAGTGGCTGCCCTAAGAGAAGGAAATCAAAACAATACTCAGCCCATTCATATGAATTCCAATTTCAAAGACACCTATAGAAACTTCTACAGTCTAAGGCTGGCAGAGATGTGTCTCAGGAAAGGCACAGAAATGGCAATTATTATTTTATATTTAGGAGCTGATGAAAAGCTTGGAGGGAAGAATCAAGGCTGATGGTAGCAGGGGCAGTTCCCTTCCAGCATAACAGATCGAGGAGAAAACAGGTCTTCCACTATAAACTGTAACAGATGAGAGCAATTTTGCTCTTCTAGGATGCATGCATTTGCACAGCATCAAGGACAAGGAGCCTAAAGGCACTATTTGAGTACTAAGTACCCTAAGGCAGTTCTAGAAGGTGTTGCACTGAGTTCAAAAATATCTTCATTCAGTTAGGACTAAATCTACCTAAGATATTAAGGGACTGAAGGATACATTTTAAAATGATTTTTTAAAAATTTACTCTGACTGGCCAACGATGGGGTCAAATCTATAATATTTTCTGTGCATTTGCAGCAGAAGAATTCTTGTTGGGGGGAAATGCGTCTGTTCCCCAAGATCAGACACAAAACCTGAAGTCAGTGAAGATGGTGACAAAACTGTAACAATTTCACTGGTTACGGGAAAAAAAATCACAAATATATATAAATATCTCTCTAAACAGCTGACTCGGTGATAGTTTCAGATAGTTTCAGATATTCCCTTTTCTCCTGCCACTTTCAATGACTGTAACCATATGTCTGTATTTCTGGCCTGACTGGGTTTCTTTCCTCAGACTTTAGATCATCTTATCAGAAATTGTTTGTATCACATGTGTGTACTGAATTTTCAGCTCAGCAAAAAGGCCATGCTAATCAGAGATGCTTTTCAGCTGGCCACTTTTACGTGACCCAGTGCTTTTGAAATGTGACAGAGGAGAACGGCTAAGATGATGATGAATCTAACAGCACAGGTGCTTTTTCAACCCATTAAATAACATGGTACAAAGGACATTAGCAGAACAGCACTCGGCACAGGCCAGCGGGCCCGTCTGCTGGGCACGGTGACAGCTCCATGTGACAGCAGATGTGGCCTTGCCCTCTCAAAGCACCCATGAGGACCGGGCCGGAGGCACCAGAGCAGGAGCCGGCACTCCAGCTCTCTGCTCCGTCCACCCAGCTTTCTCACTCTGGAAGTTAACTTTACCCAAACCAAGCGGCAGCATCAGCTGTGGCCACACAGCAGCAAGTTAACACCATGAACATAGTGACAATTAGCACAAAACCACAGCTGGTTCACTCTTTTGTTCAAACAGTAACATCTCATTTTTTTCCTTAAGCTATTTCTTCTGTTCATACCTCAGACACCCTCCAAACCCCAGAAATCTCTCTCGACATCTCTCTATATACACCTTTTCATATTACTAAGGAAAAACAATGTTTCCTTCTATTTTCCAGTGATTTTCTAGAGAATATTGGAGTACTGCTCTGTCCTATACTTAAAATGAACTCATTTGAAGATGGATTGAAATGCTTCCTCTTCACATTGCCTATTAATCTCAGCAGTCGTTTCTTGCTTTGTTATAGAACAAAACAACTGAGATTAGCTCGTACTCTGTGCACACAAAGGCATTTTTTTCTTTCATAATAGAGTGTTGCCACTCATTCAGCAAGGGTGAGATATAAGGACTAGGAGAAATTGTGTGGTGCCTGAACAGAGAATGTGACTGTATTCTTAATAAGGGGAAGTCTGCTGAGGTACACAGAAATGTCAGTGAACACACTATTAAGGCTGCACAGTTAAAGTACATGATAGCATGAGATGCCGATTTACCAGGGCTGCCTTTTAAGAACAGAAGACAACACTTAGCATGTTACTGAATCACTTTTAAAAGCTTGTCCCTTTACTCAAGTATATGTTTTCTTCTTCAAATTGAAACCTGCTACGTTTATGTTTGACTAAAAGTGACTGTACTACTACAGAGTTTTTTCCTTCTTACTTTATTGAGGAATAAAGACTACTTACTTTTTTTAGAGAGGGCATCCTCGCAGTGGATGGGCACACACTGAATGAATTGAAAAAATCATCATCCCCTGTTATAAAATCATTTGCCTCCTCTTATTCCTCCCTCACTTTCATGTCCTGAAGTAGTCATCTGCTGTCATCATTAATACTCATTTTAGAGTAATCATTTCCACTGAAAGCCATGGAAAGCATACTTAGAGCATTTTATAGACTTAAATGATACTCAGCAGAAATTCACCAACTGTTATCACAACACTGTCACCGCCAGTTATGGAGGAAGGAGGCAAAATTCATTTCTGTTGTTGTAACATTACTTTAAATTATGATTTTAATTCATTGTCTGTTCAGAGAAAGTCTTACCTTTAAATTCTTCTTTCTTTCCCAACTAGCCATTACATCGATCTAGAATCGAATTCTTAAAACAAAAAAACGGGAAAGCGTATCCTGCTTTACAATGGGACTTTTGCACTTTTTAGTTTTTTCTCTTCTTGATCTTAAATCTCCATGGTTTCCTGCCTTTGTCCTTGTTGTGGCAAAAGCAGTGTTTGTTGACAATACTGTAATGGTACAAGTACTTCAATAAATGGGACAGAAGATGCTTATTCCTTGAAGTTGAGAGAAAAATATTATCCAAGGGAAGCATCGAGTCCAATTTCATACTGAAAGAGGCTCTGCAGAAGCAGAAGGACTAAGTAGTAGGTTATGTCACTTGTTTCGCAGTGAACTGATGCTACAAAATATAATGTCCTGCCCTGAGACATTCTGGCCAAGAACTCCAGCAACCACATTTATGGCAATAAAGAATTAGCTGTGTTAGATCTCTGCTGAAGGGCAAAAATCACAAAAAAAAAAAGAGAGAAACAACTTGAAAGTTTCTTGAAAGAAGAAAATAGACAATAATCTAACTTAGCTTCACTTAGGAAGCTTAGGCTTCACAGATGTGAGAGAGGGGCCTTGGCACAGTGCCACACAAGATGCAGAAGCCAAAGGTAGGAAAAGATTCAGTTTATATCCTGGTGTCACCTAACAGCAGCCTTGATGCTATCCACTTTGAGATGCAAGAAAACAGCCAGTGAACCTTTTAAAAACAAATCCCTCTAAAATAAAGATTAAGAACAACAAAAATAACGACCCTGTAAAAATACTGCAGGACTTTGCTGAAGCTATAAAACCAAGCAGTGATGGGAAGCTTACACGCTGAGGTTTCCCCTCTTGGTTTTCCTTATAGAATCAGTACGCTCTAGATCCAGCAAAGCTCGTTGAAGCCAAAGGTCCCCACAGGATGTAATAAAGATACCCAAGTTTAAGGAGCAGAATCCTGCACACTGGCAGGATGTACATGACCATCTACAGCAGAGTCTGGTACAAGAGGAGTGTGAAGAGGCAGAAGGATGGGGAAGGAACGAGCACAGACTGCAGCAAAAGAGGAGGATCACAAACTTTTAAATCCTGCCACATTGTCAGATGATAGAATCAAAATAGGACTATAGGTGGCAGGGGGTAGCAGCAGACCAACATTTTCTGCCCAGAGTTTACAATTAAAAATTTCTTTATACAAGGTTCAAGTCAGCACTAACACTCAGGAATCCACTACTGCTTAAACTAAGGTGACAGAGGAGGGACTTCATTCTGCAAGTCAAATATATTCATCATTAGATAATATGCAAATTTACCATAATCACAACTCCTCTCTTTACTTTTCTTATTCACTTTTGCAGAGATATGAATTATAATGACTCAATAACAGTTAATTGAGCGTTCCCTTCATGTACTGCATTTTTAGTACTAACTTACAAACTATATTGGTTGGGTGTGTGAAATTTATTTGAATAATATACAATTTTGCTATGTAAACCTGAGGTCAGTTTGCTCTGTCTGAAGAAATTATCACCAAATTAATACTAATTGGAAGTTAGTAGTCACAGCTGTGCCTTGGTCTCCACCATAAAGCAGTCCCTGTCACATCACTGCCGGAATCTAACGTCAGAATTATCCTTTCCTTATGTCACAGGTAGCGCAAACACTTAAGTGTTTCTAAGGGAGCTGGGAGTATTCGCTTCTTTCAAATATGCTGTTTATTACATCAAAGAGTGGTTGTTCTCGGTGAACTTGATGATTCCAGGAATTGGTAATTGAATCTGTTGTCTTTTATCTTGAGATCAAGTAGTTTGAACACAGCCCAGGTTCGTTTTAACAAAGAATCTCTTCTCCAGCTGCCTGACACACTTCACTTTATTTCTTATTTCCCCACC